AGCCGCAGGACCCTCCAGCTCGGCTCTCAAACACTCTCCAAGGCGCTCCCCAAACTCCTTTTGTGACAGCATAAAATCAGCTGCTCGGGCAGGTACGTAGAAACGTGAAATAGGTGCTATTAATGGATATGTATATGTATACACATGCCCATGTATGTATGCATGTATGTGTGTGCAGCTAACCAGGGGTGAAGTTCTGCTATGAATATAAAGATACATAATGAATATAAAGATATACAATTAAGTTCTTCATGACCAGCCTGAAGCTAGAGTGCATTAAATCATTTCCACCTTTGGGTGGGATAATTTTCACGGAGGGTGGTTAGTGGTTGTCCCTCTCCCTTCCAGAGAAGAGTTTGTCTACAAGTGATATCCTCTTGGTGAGCCCCAGCCAAGCCATGCTGGCAGCATCTGCAGTGGGACTTGTTGGACTCCTGTAAGACCCTGGCAAGTCTCCTCACTGCCTAGTGCCTCAGGCTGCCAAGGAAAACCAGTATGAGTAATGTTCTCACTTTCTTTAGGACAGGACTTGTATGCTATGACAAGATGGTATTTTTGGGCCGTGCTGTTTAGAACTTGACTTCTGCTCCTCTGCCAAACCTGCTGGATGGAATTGTAATGCTGAACTCTTTTAGGGGTGGCAGTGCCATCAGTGTTAATATAATTCTTTGCACTCTAGATCGTCTATCTTATTCAAACCAAATGTTTTCCCTGTTAGGGTGTTCAGGCACTGGGATGTTGCCCAGGGAGGTGGTGGAGTCACCATCCCTGGAAGTGTTTAAGAGGCATTAAGTGTTTAATGGTTTTATTTGCCCCACTCTATTATGAAACTTTCTTCACCACGTCCAGTTTAAAAAAAACCAACCCCAAACTAGTAGAATGCTTTAAAAGTTGTAGAACTCTTTCTTGTTCGTAGTCTTTCATGGCTTTCAAGTGTCAGACCCAGTCAGTAGGCACAGCCTTGGTGGTTTTTTGAGTGAATATGGTTTCTTTATTTGCTAAATAAGTTTCTAATGCGAAACGTATTTTGGATGTTGTGTTTCTCTATATCTCGTTCAGATGCTGCTCCTTGTGAAATAAACCAGCAAAACTCTATTCCCCCTCACCTCTTTTTACTGAGCCATTTGCAAGGTCCAACTGTGGCTCCTGCAAATAGAGTAGGGATGGTGTAAAACCACACATAAAGCTAGGTGATGTTTTCTCCTGGCTGAAAGCATTAATACATCAGTATTGAGCTGCACAAGATTCTCCACAGTCCTTTGAATGTGTCACATCTAGGCTGAAAGTCAGATTATGATTTTTCCTGAAAATTGAGGTTTATTTTGAATTATTTGTGTCTCTTTACTCAAAAGGCAGATGATCTATGTTAGGGACAGCTGTGCCTCCCGAGCTAACCAGGTGAGTTGTTAGGTGGTTGGCCACAGATGGATTCCATTTTTATATCTGATTAGGATTGGTTAAAATGACTCTTAAAGCCTTTGACCTTGTGAGATTCCTGATACACTTTCTGTCTTTGGGGGCTGTGCAGTGATCTGGGTCTTAACATTATTTTGGCTTTAATTGGATTCAATTCATGAAGTCCTTGAGGGGCCAATGCAACAAAACCATGTGTTTTTTTTCAAAATTAATATGTTTTGGAGAAAACTTTTTTCTTTCTTTTATGGCAAGTCAGAAATTTGGTTTTTGTCATGTTCTTGCTGATATTTAGTAACTGCCTTTATTCCCTGGAGTCTCCTGTTCATGCTGCCTTCAGCAGATGAGTTACCATGTGTCTTGGGAAGCTCTGTGATGTTCAGAATGGTGGAATAAGTGGCTTTTCTGCTCTAGTGTTCCTCTAAAGGGACTTTCTAGGACTTTAGTAGGTGGTACAGAGTATTATAGTATTAACAGCAGAGTTTTACTGTAAGGCTAATTCTGTTTTCAAGCTGATGACAGAATTCCTGTCAAATTTGGTTGCTGAGGATCAAGGTTCACATATTAGTTTAATCTTCCATAGCAAGTAGAAGTGTTTGGCACTCTAGAATTCTTTGTGGATGTAAAAATCAGTGCAGGTGTCAGAGCTAACTGGGTTATATAAAAATGGTCTGTACCAGTTCTCCCGGTTTCAAAAATCACCAAGTATAATGAAACTGTCTCCTTTAAAGTAGTGTGGTAGGAGAAATAATTGTCTAATGTTAAATTTGTATTTTTAAAATATTAATTCCTTGTTGGTCTTTTTGCTTGTTTCTGAGAAATATACTTATTTTTTCTAGTGATACTGGTCCTGAGACATGGAGAAGAATATTTGTCAAGTTTATGAAGCTGAAATCCAGGCACTGGAAGAAGAAATTAAAGTATTGACAGAGAAATATGAAGAAATCCAGCAAGAATACACCTCTTTTTCTGATGAGGAGATACTGAAGTCAATGTATGCCTTTTGTTACATGCTGGATTAATAGTGTTTCTGTGTCAAAACTGCTTGGGTTAAACTTTTGCCTCTGTTAGGACTTTATTTTTACAGTGCTGATGATGTTTAGGACATGGGCTATGCAGGGGAAAATAGCAAACAAGCAACAGCTGATCTGGTTTTACTGCCTTCTGCTGGTAGTTCGTGGGGTTCTTCAGGGTTTTGTTTCTTTCAAAAGGCAGCCAGAGCATAATGCCAGGTGTGTTACTGTGCAGGCCCTGCAGAGCTGTTGGCTGCAAAGGCCTCATATCCATTCTGCCCTGTGAAACAGCTCAGTGCCTGTTTATTTGGGGGGAAAAATATAGACACTGGAGACGTGCACAGGTGTGACTTGTTATGTACTAAAGAAGTGCCACATTGTGGCTTTTAAATTCCATTACTTAACTGATATTCTGCAGTAAATGTTTATTCCAGGGATAAAATAAGTCATTTAGGTGAGCAAAGGCAGCTTAGCTTGTTTTTGTTGGATGTCCCTCGAAAGGCACACTTGCACCTCCAGGCTTGTCATAACATCTGGTGGTAAATGGAAAGTGTTTATGTAAGTTAGACTAGTTTACTGTTCCTAGCAATATGATCCAACTGAAATCTGGTACTGGAAAGTGGATCTTGATCAGAAAACCATCAGATCACATTGTACATATCTTTAGTGGTGTTGGTGTACTGATGTAACAACATGTTCCCATGTCTGAGTCTTCTGCCCTTTTGATTCTGTTTTACTTTTTTATTTTTCTATTTTAGAAAATTATTCCAAAGAGAAATTCTGGGAGAAAATAAGGGATATAAATCTCCATCAAACCTGATATTTCAGCTTGAAAATCTAGAAACAGATCTCTTATTTTTAATGAAATTTACTGGTTTTCAGTTCACAAGTCATTCCAAGAAGACACTGGAAAGAAGTAAGCAGTTTTGAGTCCTTGATTGCACTGAGCACACTGGTACAATTCATACATTTGCAGCTCTGTGTTGTAATTCTACTTTTAATGTTAGCAGAGAGAAATGCAATAAGATTTTCTTTGTTGATGAAGTAGTTTTGAGTAAATATTGTACTTTGCATAGTGGGAAAATGAAAGACTGCTGGGAAGTTAGTTGTTGGGTGTTTGAAACATTTCAATTCTTGATTTAATTCTGGATGGTGTCACTTGGTACTTTAAATATGACTGAGGGAAGACATGCAGTAACTGTTGTATAGAATTTTAATTATTTGTTAACTTCATTTTATAACAGCTGGAAACAGGACAGTGCAGAAGAACAGATTATCAGGGAAGTGCCATTCCCTGTCTTTTCAATTGGAATTCCAACTTACTAAAATGCAGGTAAGGATCATGATACGTTTTAAAAGGACTGCTAAGCAAAGAAACAAAACTTCAGATGGAGAAATGTCAATACTTTCTTTACCAGCTGAAACCTTCAGCTGCTTAATTTAAGCCTCAGTGGGCTGTTTTCACTCTCTAACAGCTAGACCCAACTTCTGCATTCCATGTGCATCCAAGCAGAATGGTTCTGAAGGTCAGGTTCAGTGTTTAGTCATAAAATTGTTACCATAGGATCATGTAGGTTGGAAAAGACCTTTAATACTATCAAAGCAAACTGTTAGCATGTTAACTGCCATGTCTATCACCCTTCCTTCCCAAAACATGCTTTCTGCAGGATGCTCTCACGGACTAATGCTGAAGTAAAGCCCTGCACAGCACTGGGTGTGCACCAGCACTGCCAGGTACCTGCTGGGGCCTCATCCTGACCCAGCACAGCTTTCATCCCACTGCTTTCTGTGATCTCCCACATAACACATCCTTCGGCAGTCAGTAGCTTGTTCTGGAAAATGCCATATGTTACCTCCCTTGTGAAAACTGAGGAAGCTGAAACACTGCAAACCTGAAGAGTTGTGGGTGGGTTGTTGTTTAGCTGGGGTTTTTTTGATTATATTTCTGTGTGCTTGGCTGATGTGACTAGTCAGCACAGCATAACACTGCCCAGAAGTTGCATGAAGGATTACAGGGATTTTGTGAGGAAGCTTTTTTTTGTAAGAATCCATTCTTCACATAGAATTCCAAGTGCTAAGCAGTAAAAAATGGCTGCTACCACAATTTGTAAACATATTTTTTTCATGTCAGGAAATTTCCTTCTCAAGAAAACTTGATTTCCAGCTCAGGTTTAAAGGTGGTTTTGAAATTTAATGTGATTGGACTGATAGTATTTAAAACTGTCTTGTTATGTAAAGATGTCCTTCCTAATCTTAAGCAAAGCCATATTATGAGTTAAGGAATTGAGTATTTAGGGAGTCACACATGGATTGCATCATGTGAAACTGCAGGAGTTCAGCTGTATGAGGTTGTTCTGCAGCCTCTGAAGTCCATTTGTGTCTGGAAACTTGTGGTCCTAGTGATGCCACTTTACCATTTGCTCATATGAGACTGCACTTAGCTTTGAGCAGGGAGACAGCCTGCACCAACTGTGCGGCTGGAGGAGAGGAAGGTTTCTTTCTCAGCTGCATCTCCTGCAGGACAATGGCATCTTTTTTGTCAGTGGAGCTCAGAGCAGCGTTAAATTTGTTAACGGCATCGGTGATGCTTAAAGCTGTTGCACCACTAGGTGGGAGCACTTGGCTGCCTAACGACTGAAATACGAGGTGTATGTGTGTTAAACCCACTTCAGTTGAAAAAGTATGATTTCGAGTTCATTTTTTGCGTGAATTATTTTTTAAAATATAGATACAAGTACATCGCAGCAGTAACTTAGAGTTTAATATGCAGTCCAGGCAACATGTCAGTTTGAATTGCCACTCTTTTATGCATTTGTGTGGTGTGGCTGATGGATGTGTTGTGGGAAATTAATTGCTTGAGCAGACACCAGCACAGGTTTTAATGTACCATAACACACAGGTTTTGTTTGATTTTGGTGTTACATGGCCAAGTCAAGAAGCAGATTTACTTTTTCAAACACAGAATAATTTGTCCCTTTGCTTGGGTTTTTGTGATTGTATATGAGCTTGAATGTGATGAAAGGATTTGCATTTACTTAAATGATATTTGCACAGGTTGCCCAGGGAGGCTGGGCAATCATTTAAAGAGTGACTTTCCTTTTAAATCTTTATTTGACCCAAGGTGGCATTTTGGTGTGTGTTGGTAACTCACTCATTGGAAAACCAGTTCCTATAGAAAGTAGCACATTAGCTTGTGACTGCTGGCAGCTTCTCTATGACTCCATGCACATGTTGAACCTTTAGCTCTAATTCTGAAATTATTTTTCCTGATGTTGCTTAGTCAATTCACTAATGTTTGTAGTGCCTTGGTTTGCTTTTTCTATCTGTAGTGATGGCAGCAGGAGCAGCATTTCTGTCTCATGAGTACAGGGGTTGCTGAAACGGGTGTGCTTTTAACTCCAGCTTGACTGTGTGGTTTCCCATTTGCTTGTACTGGCTGGGTATGACAAAAAAAAGTACCTATCTCCAGTTTGAAGTGAAGCACTTGCTATGGTCTTCAAACCACGATTTTGAACTTTATTCTAATCACTGTTATCTAACCTATTATCCTAAGTGTGTGTAGAAAAAAAACCACCCCTGAGTCCTTATGTGGCTTTGTTTCTACTCTAGGAACTTCTTTTCTCATTTTTAACAGGTTGTTAGATATTTTAATTACGAAATATTTTATTATCATGTACATATTTCTGAGTAACAGTTATTACTGTAAAAAGGGATGAGAATTTGAGACAAAACTATAGGCTTTAAAATTAAAAAAGGAAAACCAACAGGAAGGGTTTTTGTTTGGTAGTAGTAGTAGTTTTTAACTTAGGGTAGCACTACTATGGTTTTCAGCTGAAACCTTATATTGGAATTTTCTGGCATATGTGGCAGCCAGGGCCTGTGATGGAAAATTAGAGGAATCATAAGGAAGTGGAAGTGCCATAAAAGGAAGCAAATGAATCTCTTATTCATAAATCTCTCTTTATGTATATATATTATCTCTGCTGACAAGTTCAGGTGTTAGTCCAAAAGCCTTGTTGTATGGATAATGCTGCTGCTGTTGAATTGAAAGAAGTTGTCCATATATATGAGCTGTAGCTTAAAAAAATGCTATTCTAAGGATTATGGAAGCAGCCTTTGCATATGCTTGTTTTTCTGTTTTGTATGCAAACAGATACATTTTTCTCCTTTCTAAAATACTGTTTTGTTACATCTCCAACCTGGAACAAGGAGAATGTGTCTTCTGTTATTACTGATCTCAAGATCATGATGGAATCTGAAGAAGGTTCAGATGTGAGCAAGTTTGTGTCAAGGTAAGGTGGAATTTTTTGTTTAAGGAAGTTATTGTGGGACATTTGATACTAAATGAATGAATGAGTTTTCATGTAAACTGCTGACAGTCAGTGTCTTTGTTGTGCAATGTACCCTTAGCCCAGCCTGAGCACTTCCAATGCCTTGTCTATATCCTGGAGAGAAGATGAAATGCATGTAATTTTTAGGGCCTGAAAGGACTTTGAATTCATGTTAAACTGGAACAGTTTTTGTATTACAGTGTGTTTTAGCTGTTTGAAATTAGTTTGTTATATCTTTGACCCAAACAAGCTCAGTTAAGTTAACTGTTACTCAGGTGTGTATGTGAGTTGCAGATGTGCAGTGTGGGTCAGTAATGGCCAAAGTGAACATCCAGAACTCCTCTCCAGTATTTGCCTATTTGATTCTCTGCTCCCCATTCCATTTCTCTTCTTTGCATCTGAATTTATTTCACTGATATTTTAAAAACAATAGAATCCAGTTGAAAACCCTGGACTAGCCTTTTGTGCAGTGGCTTAAGAAGCTGTGCATGCTAAAACTTAAATATCTGAATGAATGCTATTTTTTATTATTATCTGTAGTGTGTCAACGTCTTGTAACGTGATGAGTAATGATCAGATTATTTGTCTGCAGTATTGCACTGAGTTCTGCTAGCATGCTGTTCTGAGAAGAAAAATATTATTATTGGGTAGTTGACTTAGTCTTAATCCTGTCCTTCAAGTGATTTTTTTTTTTTGTTTGTTTTATATTATTGGTACTTGGGGAGGCAGAGGGAAGGCCAACAGATGGGTGAAAAGAAAGGTCTATTGAGTTACCTCAGGCTTCAGTAGTCTGTACTAAAAACTGAATATTTACTTAGAGGCTTTGAAATGTCCATATAAGTTTACTAAAGCCAGTGGTATCACTGAGAAGAGTAGGTGACTGCCCTCAAGAAGCAGGATTTAGAAGAGGAAATTGCCCTGTTTATTCAGGAGTGTTTTATGACAGCAGAAGTGTATTGGAACTTAATAGTCACCCTGGAAAGGAATGTGTTGAAGCAGTGACAGACTTTATTTCATCCTGGCTTGAGCACTGCTGTCTTGTCCCTGTCCTGGTCCTTTTGCACATTGCACCAGTGTTCACAAGTGAACACAAGTTTTCATGAGTGGTAGATGATGTGGCTTTGCTGTCAGTAAAGCAGTGCTTTCTCCTAGCCTCTCTTTGCATGTCCCATCTGCTGACCTTGTGTCCATGTATATAATCCTGAAAACATGTGGCCAATAGGATTGATGATAACATTTGGTTGGAAAAGTAATTGGGGCATGGGCGATGATACAACCTTGTTCTCCCACAACCTCTTCAAATTTCATTTCTTCTCTTTGACTTGCCTTGCAATGCTACAGTGTCGTCAATCTAAAGCAGGAAATATGTGGCCAGAGTGGGGCTGATGCTGACAGTGTCTGTTTTGACAGCAACCCACTGTTGAATGGGCTGACACTGACTGTGTGACCTCCCTTTGTGGCCTGTTTTTTTAATCTCCTTGTTAAGCGACTTCTAATTTCTTCCTCTAAGTTGTAATTCCCTCATGTCCAGTTTTAGGCTTTTCCCATCTAGCCCCTTGTTCTTGAGTCTAACAGCTGCTCTTAGAATCTTGATTCTTACCTTTTCTCTCCCTTTCCCTCCCATCTTGACCAGCTAAATCTGGTCTCCTGCTGTATTGTTCATTCTTTTCAGTCTCCCCACCAGTTTCTGTTTTCTTTTGCTTCCTTGGCCCTATCTTGCCAAATCCATTGTCTAGCTCTTTTCTGTTTGCTCTCTGCCTGCCTGGATTTTTTCCTCCTCAGTTATCTATTTTTTATTTTTTGGCTTCATTTGTTTTCATAATGCATGACAGAAAAGGGTCTTTAAGAGCAGCAGAGTTAAGAACTTGGCATTCAATTGTAATTCCCAAGCCCTTCCTGCTTTGGAAGAAAACACGGGAATGCTAGAACACTTGAGCAACATGTTTTTAAAAGAAGCCAAATTCAGCAGTCTGTTTTCAACCAGGTACTGCTGCAATATATTATTCCTGTTTTTAAAAGATGTACCATTGCTTAAATATGTTGTGACAATAAAATATGTATGCAAATGGAACCACAACATTGACTCATCTTTTTTGGATTCTACTTGTGTCCCTTTTGCACCAGTTGTCATCACTTATGTTATGCTTTACTAGTACTGAGGATCACAGTATCTAAGAGAACTTATTGTTGGTCCTTTTATACTTGTTTTTTGGGGCTTGACACTGCATTAATTGTTGGGTGAATTAACCTTTGCATGGATTAGTTAGTCAAATAGGGTATTTTAGACAGTATGAAAACTGTTCCTAGTTTCAGTAACTCTTTAGTGTTTATAAGTCAGGCTGAAGGATTTAGGTAATATCTGCATTATATTAAATGCTGCATGGGATCTTGGAAATGAAAGGAAGCAGGAATTCCTCCCACAGCTTTGAAAATCGTGTTTTGGTTTTATATGCTAATGCAGGAAGTCTTGCATTCTGCACTGAGTTAAAATAGATTTCCTCTCTTAAACAGCTAAAGGAACATATTAAAGGAGGCTTAAATACTCTTGCAACTTTTCTAACATACTTTTGTGTTTTGTTGATGATATTTTGTGAAAGTGAAATGGTGTTTGTATGAAGGGCCTGTGATTTTATCCTGATACAGAGCTGCTCTGCCTGAATATGCTTTTAGCTGATTTTGGATGACTTCTCTGTAACATGGGTGTTGATGTTGGAGATGTATGTTTTCTGCTCCTAGTGGATATTTTTTTTTAAACCCAGTGACAGTTTGTAATGCTGAATTCTTTGAGAAACACAAAGAGTCTTACATTTTACCATGGATTCTCTTAGTACCCTGTTATTCTCCTGGTATTTGTTGTGGTTGACTTCAGCATAAGAAATTAGGCAAATTAGGCTGATTAGGAATTATTGTTGGTGGGTAGTTCAAGTGCTGTGAGACAATTAATTAGTGCTTTTATGTAGTCTTTCTCCCTTGCAAATACAAAACCAGCATGATTTACCTGTGTCTGTTCATGCCCTTTCTAAACACTGAATTCAGTTTTCTATCATAAATTTAGCCAGTGCTAGATGAGAATAGTACATACTCAGATACAACTGGCTTTCTGACTTTTACATTTGAAACTGGTTCTTTGGGCTTGTCAGCCAAAAACTTTCTCTTTCTACTTGATGATCTAGCCTTGAAAATTGTCATCTGCTCTAGCACCTAAATGAATTTGGGAGGAAAAAAAGAAATAAAGACATAATGCTGAAATGAGGTCACAAGGTTTGGATATTCATCAATGGCTGCGTAGTGTTTTAAGAAGAATTTTAAGTATGTAGCTTTGTAACAGAGGTGTGTGTTGCCCTGCTCCAAGCACAGTGCAGTTAGTGGCGGGTTGTGTTCATGGGACAGGAGGTCTGGGCAGGCATAACCGTGTCTCCTCTGCTGCTATAGTATGTGTAGATTTTGATACATACAGTCAAAAGTTGTGGTTAAAAACAGCGTCCCAGAACATAGAGCTAATGAGCTATTATAAATCAGTCTGTGTCCTTCCAGGGACTCAGTTTTCCCCCTGCTGCCAAAATTTTTTTCAGCTTGGCCTGATTTTGTTGGCAGCTATGACTACTGTGGTAACTTCCTTTAATGATGCTGTTCTTTCCAGGCAAGGATAAAACTTGTTTGGCTTTTCTTTTACATTTTCAATATCTGAATGACCTTAATGTATTTTTTTTCAGTTTATGTTTGTGTAATATGCTAAAAGTTGCCATTCCTGTATATTAAATAGAGCTGGATCTGAGGCACAGTTCTCCCTGGAATGGCTGAAGTGACTTGGTAATATACTGTTGCAACCATTCAGTGAACAGCCTCAAGTTTCTGCTCTCAGCTGTTTTGAAAATCCAAAAAGAATAGCTAATCTCAAACTGAAAGGGTGTCAAAAGTCAAATTTACATGTAGAATTGAGACCCTCTGTACCTTTCTGAAATATTCCCAAATGTCAGGCAGGTATCTTCCTCAGTCAGGTTTTGTAAACTTGTAGAATCCTGTATTAGTGATGGAAATCTTTGTGTTTTCAAAGCAGAGCTTGCCAGGTGTGTTTTGACAATGGTCAACAGTCTGCTTCCTTTGGCTGTGGCTTTGCATCAATGATTATAAGAAGCTGTTCATCCTTATGATTAGATAATCATGTTGCTTCAGGTAGTCTGGCACATAACTTCTGTGAAATTTCACATCCTGTGCATCTTTGCCACATTTCTTTAGTGAAAACTGTGCGTCCTTTCCATGCATTTTTCCTCCCTCCCCCTGACACCACCAGATGGATGGTTGGCTATGTGACAGTTTCTCTCATCTTTTGTCTCCTTTCCTTTCTCTCTCCTGATGCATACATTACTAGAAATCTGGAAAAAAAGTATTTTATATTTGTCTCTCCCTACCCCCCAATAAAGAAGAACATGGACTTGTTTAAGTGGATCCAGAGGAGGACCACAAAAAATTATCAAAGGGCAGGAGCACCTCTCCTATTAAGATAGGCTGGGAGAGCTGAGGCTGTTGAGCCTGGAGAAAGAGAAAGCTCTAGGGAGACCTTAGAGCCCCTTCCAGTGCCTGAGGGGCTGAAGAGGGACTTTGGACAAGGGCCTGGAGTGACAGGATGAGGGGGAATGGCTTCACACTGCCAGAGGGCAGGGATAGATGGGATGTTGGCAAGAAACACATTACTGTGAGAGTGATGAGGCACTGGCACAGGTTCAGCTCTACTGAACCTATACTGGCTAAGGTCAAGTGCAGCAAAGGGGTGTCTGCACTGCTCTTTGCAGGACATCAAGGTTCCAACATGATTTCTTAGTGCAAGCACAGAGTCATTTGTATGAATGAAGCCATAATGTATCCATGTGTAGATGCACAGCTAAATCGTGAGGGAGCCCAGAATTGCAACAATACTGAGGGCCATTCTGCAGGAATCAGGCCTGTTCAGCCTTGCTAACTTGTGTTTACAAAATGCTTGGCACTGAGATCTCTGCACTCCTTTCTCAGTTACAGATTTGTGAGCATCTCTCTCCCCTGCCCTCCCCCACTACCTCATTAGTGAGAGTATGACCATCTTCTGTAACAGCAGAGAAATCAAGTTGTAACTGTCTATCGAGAGCTTTGGTTTAGCTGAACAGGCCTCCTTGCCTACTGATGCTTCAAGGTGAATTCTGAGAAGCTGAATGTCATGTGTGCAGAGGTAGATAACGTGTTGTGTAGTATTTAGTTGAAAAGAACAAAGATGTCTGAAATATTCAAGGCTTTACCGTATGGTAAATCTTACCACTTCTGTAGGTTAATGTTTTATGCAATGTCTTGGAATTTATTTAGAAAACAAGAGTGTTAGCTGAACAATCCTAAAGTCAAGTGAAGATTTTGCAAGTGACAACTTTGTTACCCTGTTTTACATGGGATTAACACCATAAACACTGACTTATAAATGTGTTGTTCTGTTTGTTTTCTGTAACCCCCCCTACAGCTTTTTATTCACTGTTGCCATGATTATTTTTTAGGTGATTTCTAGCTTCATATTCAAACAATACCAGTCAGAAATTCTTTAAGGAAAAGTGCAAGTTTTAGGCTGTAGAATTGGTACATCTGACTAGTACAGTTTGGGTTAAACAGTATACTTTTCTTTTGTAGAGCTGAAGAATGTAGAAGTCTTTTAAAGTTTTTCAGAAGCATTTCATCCTATGCTGAGTGGCATGAACATCGCAGAAACACCTTCCTGCATTTCAAGGTAGTATCTATCAAGCCTTTATTTATTAGTACTGTATTTATTTCTTGAAGTAGTTCATTAAGACAGCTCACTGGGGGTGAAACTGGCACCTTTTAGCAGAATATAGGCTTCTTACATTTGTATGTTGTGAAGAAGAGAATACTAGCTAAGTTTTTTTGTATTGTGTTCAGGGGGCAATGCCTTTGCTTGGTGTTTGTCTTGACTTTTACCATACTAGTGCTGTGTTGCTCGTGTGTAAAGGAAAACAAGAATGTCTGTGCCTTTCTGTGGGAGATTAAGACAGTTTTCATTGGTGTTACATTTTATTTGTGTTTAAAAAAAAAGGCAACAGAAGAAACTAAAAGAAAATACCATTTGTAGTCCTTGGCATGTAAATGTTGGGCTGGAAGGGCTGGACCTGTTTCTCTTGAAGATGTGGCAGCAAGAGTTTGGGCAAGAGCACTTCAGTTATAGAGTATTTTGCTTGTATGGGAAATAAACTGATCCTCCCTCCTAACTGGAACATAGTATTCGACCTTAGGTTTAAATTACCAGTGTTTCACTTGTTTGTTTTGGCTTTGTGCTGACTTTAAGATAAACAACTAATCCTTGGAGTAAAAATACTACAGTCTTACAGACACAAAACGTCTTATACAGTGCTTCATGTTAGAGGAGGATATTTTTGTACTTAATTATTTGTGGATTTTTAACTTCACTTTTATTTGCCTCAAACATTTATTATCATTAAACTTGGCACCATCTTTACTGTAGTAAACCTACTGTAGTAGGAAGTGGGAGCTGCTTTGTTTCCTACTTTTGAATCTTTTAGGCTTATCAGTTCTGTGCCAGATTAATCAATTTCTATTCCCAAAGCAACCAGAGTAAGGAGAGGAAAATAAGGTACTATTTTCTGATAATTTAAAAAAAAAATCCTGTTCTCAGCTGAGCAATTAACTATATTGTCTAATCCTGCTGGTGGTTTGTTGTGTAAGGACTTTGCTTTAATCCCCCTCTAGAAAAGGTAGAGCATCAAGGGCTTTATGGCTCTGTGGGTTTTTTTCTGCCTGTTCTGTTTTCAGCTGCGCTTGAAGCTTTTTGATTCTTAGATCAGCTTTATGACAGCAGTCACTATGGATTCTGGGACAGTGCTTCAGTGAACTGTTGTAAATATTTCTCATTTTAAAATATAATAAAGACAAAATAGAAAGGAAGATAACTTTTAAATTGTTGTGTATATTATCAGTTTTTAAAAGTTTTTGTTTAGGTATTGAATGTAAACAATGAAGAGATCTATTCATTGCTAAAAGATGTGTGGAGATAAATTCACTGAAGACATGTTACAAGTTTGTCAGTATTACAAGTGCTCTTTCTGAAGATATTTTTATTTCCTTGGATAAAGATACTATTGAGAAAGGCAAACCAATTTGGGGGAAGATTTACTAAATTGGATTGACTGTGCTTATGAAGAATGTTTTATGCCTCCTTCTTTCTGCTAGCATTACTAAGTATTTCACTTAGAAATAGAAAACATTCTCAGGTAAGAGAGTTAATAAAGGGTTCAGAATCCAAATCTGGCAACTCACATACCCGGATTGCTCAGGAGAATGTGTGTTTGTAGCCTAACATTCTGTAATCATTTGTGAAAGCAACTCACACATTAGAAATGAGCCTGTAACCTCTGTATTTATTTTTTCCCCCTTCCTGCTCTCTGGATTGCAAGTATATAGGCAGGTAACTGCACACAGTATTGGAGAGAAGACTATTTGGGATGTTGTCTTGGGTTTACAGCTTCGCTATTATTTTGTTATCTAAAGGAAAATTGGCCAGGCTGCTAAGTAGAAATGCACAGTGTTTCGGATAGTTTTCTCAGAGTGTAGTGTAAAAACACCAATGGTAGATTATCTTTTTCTGTTGTGCTTGGTACTTCAGAAGAAAGGAATAATGTAGAAGTGTTTGAATACTTCAAGTAATAGTGAATGTTTAAGATGAATGGCAATGCAAGGTAGTGCTTTAAATAGATTTTGAAGGGGTAAATGAAGTGTCCCCCAAGTATTTAGTATGGCAGGTCTGACTGTACTGCCACAATAAAGGCTGTGTCTGCAAAATGGATTTACATCTGCAAATCATTTTCTGATCTTCATCTGCCACGAGGCTGAACAACTGAAGCATGTTGGCAACTCTAGAAGAGCAGATTGTTGAAGCTGATACTGATAAACAAGAAAAAAATTCAAGTTTTATTGGAAATACAAAACAGAAATGAGTGATAGGAAAAAAATAGAATGGTTTACATTCAGCTTGATATTAGTACTGGTCACACAAATAGAAGGCGAAAAGTCCTCCTGGCTGAAGCCTTTCTCACGTACTGTTTTGATTAGTTAACTTGCTTTGAATGGGGAAAGGAAATTCCAGCACATAACTTACTGCTTGCTTGAGGCATTCAGAAGGTACCAGCTGTCTGCTTGGCTTTGCTCACAAAGTATTAAGAGCATTAATGAGCATTACTGATGTTACCCAGTACCTTTTCAAAAATATATACAACGTTTCAGTGTAAAATGAATCATGTGGTGGTGGTTGAGTCTTGGGATGTTTACATGTGTGTAGGGATTACAGCAATGCTCATATATTTGTTATAGGCATCCTTGGTGAATATTTACTGATCCTATTGATACTGGAAAGCTTTTTTTAAAGAATAATGATTTGTGATGAGAGTAAGATCAGAGGCCACTGCTTATGTAATGTACAGAAAACACACAGCTGTTTTCTTTGTCTTAGGTATTTATCATAAGAGGCACGAGAGAATTGGTGGCCTTTATTTTTTTCCTAGTAAAAATTTGACACTGGGACTTATTTTTACATGCTTTGGAGTTGTTTTTTGTTTTGCTAAAAACCTGGACACATCAAATTTTTATGACTTGCATGGGAAAATGAAAATAAAGTATTACTGTTGGGCTTGATTTTGTTCTGAGGTGTATTAAGACAACGGAATTTCTTGTTATACCAAATAACTTAAACTGGAAAATACTGGGGATTGCTCTGTCTTTCTTGGGTAATGGGCTCAGGGCAAAAATATTTTTGCCCCACATTTTGTAATTGCATCCTCTTTCCAGAAAGATGAGCCCACAGCTGATGCTTGACATGACTACTTAAGAACCGACTGAATGGCACTTAGGCCTCATACTCTGGTTGTCAGGACATCAGTGTGTTCAGGATTAAGTGGGCACTGAATTCCCCATAGCACAAGCACTAACAAATCAAGGTTCAGCTAAATAAGATAAATAAAACGAATACAAAATATCCTGCAAAACCAGTATCCTAGATGTAGTGACACATCATCATGCATTTGATGCTTAACTATTTCTACAAACTAGGAGTCTATACTAGCTTCAAAATTAGTACAAAGCTGATGTGGTGATAGTAACCAGCACACCTTTGGCATTCATTATCTACAGAGTTTACACCTGTGGTAGGTATTGAGGGGAGAAACTGAATGTCAGAAATGTATAGTGTGAAACTAAAAGCATTGTGCCCTGTGTCAGTTATGTCTGTTTGTAGGTGAACTGATTGTTGGGGCCTGCACACATGGACTTGTGTTCTTAATACTCTGAATAGTTTGAAGTACTTGAGTGAAATGGTGCTTGAGCTTAACATTGTCTTTAGATTAAGGATAGAATGAACACTTTAATTTAAAGATCTGATTAGATTTTTCCCTAATGAGCAGAAGTATTGTTGCACAAGGGTAATTCTCTTTCTTTACACTGACATCTAGCTGAAATCTTACTTATATACAGGAAAAAATGTTAATTCAGATTTGCTGTTAATTGTGTTGTCACATTTCCTGTCCAGAAAAGCTGTGGAACCAAGGCTGTCTCCTTCACGTGTTAGTAACAACCATCTCTGGGGTCATACCATGCTGTGCTCTGACCATTAAATTGAAATGGGAAGCTGGTGGTGTAAAAATGGCTCCTGTAAGTAGAGCTCAGCAAAATTTATGTATTTCACTTAAAATTAACTCGTGTAAAAATAAAACACATATATAATATATATATACACACACAGTGTTGGATTATTTTCAAAACAAAATAGTAGGAGATTTTACACATCCTTGAAAAGTTCCAGTTGCTGTGTTACTAAATCTAAACAGGAATTGTTCCCGTGTTCCATAAACCAGGTTTTTAAAGAAGCTGTGAAGAATTTAAGCTTTGAGAAGTTCTGTTTCTCAACATAACTTTCTTTTGTATGCATCTTCATTCAATAGGTCTGTTCCAACCCCTAAAATTCTATGATTCTATAATTTAATACACTTTTGAAGGTCAACTGAAAGAAACTTCATTTCAGATTACAAAGTGGATTGGACTTGAGATGTATTTTCCCTCTGTAGCTTGCTCAAAGAATGTTATGCACTTGTCTGAAGGTCAAATGGAGAGATTGTTCTGTGTGCTGGCACAGAATGTGAACAAGCAGTTGTTATGTGATTTTTACCTGCACCTAAAGAATGTGTAGTGAAATATGTGTTGAGAAGATGTGTGTGCATATATGTATTTTTACACTTTCCTTAACAGAGAAGATGATGAAAGCATGGCTGGCACTGAAATACTTACTGCAGAGCAGAACCACATTTCAGCATTGTAGAAGGTTCTGGGTGTGCAGGAAAACAGCATTAGTAAGGGAGAGGATATGAACTTGCAAACAGAGGGAGAAGTACTGGTTTGTTACCATGCTGGAGTTGTGACATGGGTAATGGCAGAGGCAGTGGCTAGTAGTAGGTTCCCACAGGCAGCATTCTCAAGCAGGAGAAAGCATTCACGTGCTTTGCCAGGACGATGGGATTGCCCTCCATCCGGATCTCGTCCATCCGCATGCGGATGTACCGCGTGTTGTTGGACTTGCAGAACGTGTCGTCGGTGATGGTGGTGATGTTGTTGTACTGCAAACCAAACATTCTTAATCAAGGAATGCACGCTGATACATACTCACCCGTGTATGGTGAAGAATTTTCACACTTAGTTTTAATCAATTTACCCTCCCATTTCATTATCATTAGATTTGATTAGTGTCTACTTCAGGTATGCAGGAATCAAGGCTTGTCAAACCAATCAATGAGCTGGTAAGCAATTTGAGGCTGTTATTGATGTTTGGAATGTATTGTTGATAAAAGGTTATTGCTTATTCTTACCACTTCCTATCCTTGATATACAGGAAATAATAGTAAATCCTTGCACGGTAATTAACTAACAAACAGCTTCTGTAGGGTCGTGGCCATACAGATTAGAGGTAAACTCTTTTGTCTGGAGGAGCATTAGAAAACTGTAGTGGGAACTGTTTTAAAAGAGAGCAAGTTTGGTTTGAAGTGTGTAACTAATGAGGCTTTTCATAATAGGATGTTAAGGGAATAGTTTTGGAATACCTGCAGGTGAAGGATGCGCAGGCTCTCCGGTAAATTCAGGGGAACAGATTCCAGTGCGTTGTGTCCTAGGTAGAGGTAGGCCAGATTTGTGAGCCTCTGGTAAAAGGAAAGAGAGATTACTAATGCTGCTATTACTTATGGAGGGTGAGTAACTTATGCTTGTTACAAGACATCTGTATTTTCTGGTCACATTGAAAACCTGTAAGCTGATGTAACACAAAACATACTTTTGCTGTGAATGTTGAGTTCTGTTGTACCAAGAAACTTCATAGAACAGGTCTACGGTTTGGAGATTCAGTGTCAGCATGTGGGTTATAAAGCTTGAGAGCACTATAAAGCTGCCCTTCCTCATTGGCATTCACATGGTCTTCAGAATGGTATTTGAGCCATCAATTTTTTAATTGAGTTTTTCTTTGCATGTGTGAGAGAGAGAAAGTAGGTATGATACTGCATAGAAATGGGGTTTTTTTTCACATGAAGGGCATGAGAGAGTGAGTGGACAAAGGGCTGTTATTCCAGAGTGCCTTAAAAACAAAGCAAAAGCTGGAAAACTGCTTCCCTGTAGTTTGTTTCTTCGATTACAAAAAACACAGAATAAACCATTTGGTGGTAGACTGAATAGTGTGGTTACTAATCTAAATCACCTGAATTACTGGGTTTTCCTTACCTTGAAAGCATTTGCTTTGATTCCTCTGCTCTTGATTCTATTTTGGTTTGCATTAAATGTTGTTAGTTTGGGAGGTAGAACAGGAAGTTTTATAAGTCGATTTTCAGCAAGAGAAAGTTCTTCCAATAGCAGAAGTTTTGAAAAGGCTCCATCTTCTATTTCCTCTATCCTGTTTCCACTGAAATCAATTCTTCTCAAGGTAGCTTTACACAAAAGAAATGAAAATCTAAATATTGATGTTATAATTACATGGCAGGTGGAATGTTTATGGTTGGACATGTTGAGTGTTTTACTGCAACATCTGAATTGTGATCTACAAGGGCAAATACTATTAAAATATGGATAAAATCCACATTTGGATTTTATTATTGTCTTAAATGGAAAAAAAAAAGCCCCAACAAGCCATAAGGGAAATACTCTGGGTCCTTCAATTTTTTCTTAGAGTCAACATGAGTTCTGATATTCAAGAATTTGCCGTGCTGTAGAGTGAGGCAGCTGAGAGAGATGTGCCTGGAGCATATGAAGGAAGAGTAATGCCTGGTCATTTAAGACTGGCTGGGATGCAGAGTTGAATTTTATTTTTAGCAATGTGCTTTTCCCCTGATTGTTTGGAAGTATTAAGATGTTTGCATGGACCAAAATGAGCTTCCATTTTGCCTTCACAGTTCCTGTGAAGTAAATAATAGCCAAAATGAAATCTAGCAAGGTATAAAATATATCTTAATCTAGTAATCTTGGCACACTCTCAGGGAACACCATCTTCAAATATGTTGTCAGGTAAACAGAAATTAAGATTTGAGCGTTACTTACTGATGTCAGCAAAATCTGAGGCTGCTATCCTTTTGATTTTGTTAAATCTGGCATAAAGGTAGGCTGTTTCCTTGGGCAGTGGGGGCACAGCCTCGATGTCGATCTCCTCACAGTACACTGACCCACTCAAGCACACACAGAGCAGGCAGGTGGGTAAATCTGGAAGCAAATTGGTTTGCCAACAGTGTAAAGTTAGTTAACTGGCTTAAGCTTGAATATTCAAAGCAGAATTTTCTTTAGGTTCTTAGAAGATTTCCCATCATTAGATTTTTAAAAAGTTCTAATTGCATCAAGTTCTGAAAACATTGAGTATTCTTGACTGATTTGAGTTTTGTGTTCTTTTTATCATGCATAATTTACCTGTATATAACCTCAGTTCTTATCTGAACATGTACTGAAATGCTATATTTTAATTGACCTGAATTTATTCTTTAATTGACTTAGAGTGTTGTATCACAACTGCAACTCTGTGACCATGTTAAATATCACCTTTGGAGCCTTTCTTTTGAGAAGAGAAATCCATGAGAAGAAACACCTGACAGTGTACACATTTGGCACTGTAATTCCGTTGGAGCATTTCTGGCAGGTCATGTATACTCCATGTTACTCCTAGCTGCTATATTGTCTAAACCTTTTGGTAAAAACTCCAGCAATGGTGATTATATAGTTATCATAGGATCACAGAGTGGTTTGAGTTGGAAGGGAATTTACAGATCATCTAATTTCAATCCCCTGCCACGGGCAGCAACACCTTCCACTAGCTCAAGTTGCTCAGGACCCTATAGGTAATATGTATCAGATTTTGCTGAAGTATTTTTCATAGAATCATGGAATTTTAGGGGTTGGTATGGACCTTAGAGATCACCTAGGCCCAACCCCCTGCCCTGGGCAGGGACACCTCCCACCAGAGCAGGTTGCTCAAGGTTTCATCCAGCCTGGCCTTGAACACTGCCAGGGTTGGGGCAGCCACAACCTTCCTGGGCAACCTGTGCCAGTGTCTCACCACCCTTATTATAGTAAAAAACCTTTTTCTAATACCCAACCTAAACTTCCCCTCCATCTTGAACCAGTTTTCCAGTTGTTGTTTTAAGTAGTAAGAGAAACTTTATTTTAATGTAGTTTAAGACCATTTTGTCTTGTCCTGTTCCTCACAGACATTAGTAAAGTGTTAGTAATTTCTGCTTTGCCAGCAAATACCTATAACCAAATATATATCATGAATATGGCTTTGAATCCAGTTTGGTCACCACTGCTATCTGATTTGCTGTGTTTTCCATGTTGTGAGAGTTTGGGTTGGCTTCTGTCTGAGCAGGGTCACACCCCTAGATAGTTTATCACTGCATAGCAAAATGGGATCTTCACAACCAGTGAAAAGTTGCAGAAGCAACTGGTCACTACTGGGAAGCCAGCCCAGTGTGTATAACAGGGTAATTCTGTTTTCCTTAGGGAGGCAATGCAGAGAATGGAATGGAGACTTGGGGGGTTAGCTTTGTGAATATTATAATTCATTAGATTTCAGAGTTCTACCCCATTAATCTTTTTTTTTTCATTTATTTAGTGTCTTGTTATGTGCTAGAGTATAGGAAATGGAAAATGATTGTCAAACAATGCTGTCACTATTTAAAAGGCAACAGTTTTTATGCTTATCCATGACTAAAGCTCTGGTGCTCTTGGAGACTTGTTTGCTTTTGATGAGGACTTGCTGACAGATGCTGTTTGGCAATCATTAATCTTGATTCGAACTTTGGTGCAGACTGACACTCCTGGTCTTGCTGAATCATTAATTATTTTTGGAAGAAACACACAAGATATTTGTCTTTTTCTCAAAGCTCTCTTTGGCAGAGGAACTCTGTTCCTTTCACGTTTAGGAAGCATTGTGGCTTGTTAGGAGAAACCAGGACAATATACCTCAGAGCCTGCAGGAAACTTAGGCCAGTGAAGGATGTTCTTGATGTATTTTAGCCATTGACCTCCTTGATCATCAGACATAAACCATGAGAATAGCCAATCCTTCAAAGAAATCTATTGAAGTATTTCAAGCACATTGTATGAAGTCATCATCATGACTTGGTGAAACTGTAGGACTTACTGGGGCGTGTATTTTGTTTTCCTTGGTTGTCTTGCCTAACTTATTTAATTTGGGTACATTTCAACAGAAAATCTGACTGGGTAAGTCTGCAGAGATTCTTACAAGTTGTACTTTGTGTATTCAGAGTTTACCTGAGGATCCTTCAAATTTTTTCATCTTTCTTCATCAGAAATTAGAAGACTTCCCCCAGGAGACTGAAAAGCTATTCATAAATGAAAATATTGATTCTATATTCCTTGCCATCCTTTGCATATTACATTTTCATATTGAAGTATGTTCTTTTGGAAAGCTCAAACATTACAGTTTGTATGTGTTAACTTACTTGTATCCTTTGTTGCTGGTATATCGAGCTCACTGTCATCCCCTTGCAGTCTTAGGGAAGTGTCAAGAGAAATATTTGTTCCATCCTTTATGTGAGAGCAAATGTTATTTTAAAAAACAAACAGCAAACCAAAAGCCACAGAGCATTACAAGGACCTGAAACAGCATGTGACCTTCCTGTGACATACCTTGTGACAATTTTTAAAATACTCTTATGTGCTGTGTGACTAATGTGATATATCATCCCTTTTGTATGTGAACTATTGGCTGTGAAAGGCAAGAAGGGAAGGTGCTGCTAGTGTTCTTTAGAGAAGTTGGGTCCTCTAGGAAAGAACAGTAGACATAAAAATAAAGAGAAAATACAGACTGTGTGGCAGGAAGGAGTATGTAAGTGATGGGTGTCTGCATACACCTGGAGTTCTGAAGACAGAAGATTTTGCACATCATGCAAAAATTTGATAAGGATTCTTGCAAGCTGTATTTTTTTGTTTTACCCAAATAATCTCAGTAAAGTTCTATTTCCTTGCATTTAAAGCTATTCAGAATTCTCTGTAGGGATAGTCACCACATCTTTTCAACTGACGAACAACTTGGTCTCTAAATATGTTCCTTTCAGGTATTGGCTGAAGTTTAGCAGTTTGTTCCTGTTGTAAGGTGTGGGCTGCTAGCAGAACAGCCTCTTGTGATGCAGGAAATGGTACTCAGGTTTGCATTGAAAACTGTAGGAATTTGAGAGTTACCTATTATTACTATAATTATACAGTGAGTTATACTCTGATTTGCAAGTATTAGAGTTAAGGCGGCTCAGCTTGACTGTGGCAGTTGTTCCTGGCTAGCATCATTTGTTTCTTTTTTTTTGGATGGGGAATATTTGTAGGTCAGAGTAAGACAATATGCTTTTTGCTGTGTGTAGCTATTGAAAACACATGGAGGAAAGAACATTATCAGATGTGGAAGATGTTTTTCTTTAAAGGTGCTTAAGGCCCATGCCCTGGCAGGAGCACAGTGCTCTGTTGAAGAGCTGCTTACACACTGCTGGTGCTCACAAGTCAACCTGGTTTTGATTTTCAGTCCCCCTCCCCCTCCTCTCCTTCAGGCACACAGATAGTTCCTCTGCAAGATTGGTGTTAAAGTAACATCTCTCAAGTTACTTCTGATACTTTCTTTTATTTAGTATTTAGTTGCTTGCATGTACTTTACTGTGGGAATTTTTGTATTCTGCAAAACAAAGCCCTCAGGCTTGACGTAAAGCCTGAGAAACAAGTCTCTTGGCCAGTCTCTGTCATTTTGACCCCTTTTTAGCCTTGTGATTCATCCATCCCTTGGCTCTTCCTGCACCTGCTTATCCAGGCTGTGGCTCTATTTTTTGCCTCTAGTTTGGGCTGGTTTGGTTTGCTGTAGTGAAGCTTTAGGTTCTCAGCATTGGCAGCAGTTTGGAGCTGCAGCAGGAGATTGCTCTGTAAGGTCAGTGCTTGGCAGTGCTGGGTGTAGAGGGGCTGGGGGGTGCCAGCTGAACACTTCCACTCAAACAAGCAGCAAATCCTACAGAGGATTATTGTGCAAAAATACTTAGCTCACGTAGATATGTTGATTAGACATGTGAAAACGTGGACTGTGCCAGTAGAGACTTCTGAGTACATGGACTGATAATGGAACAACTGCACGTCATTGCTGCAGTGTGTTTGGCTCATAAGGGACACTTAGTTGCTGACACAGGCTGTCTGTGCCAGGGGTAGATGACAGAGTATCCCACTTGAGGTGTGATCCATAAAACAGTATGCCTGGGAGTTCTTTGCAGAACATGTGTGCTGGTGGGAAATGCCAACAAAAGTGAGCCTGATGATGTGTAGAATACTATTATTTGCAGAATAGTGTTAAATCCACAAAATTAAAAATATTTCTTGGTCAGCTATAAAAATTCCTAACTATGGAATATCAGTGCAGGAGGTTGTTTGGATTATAACCACAAAAAGTTCATTACTTGCATATGTTGGGAATGCACTGAAGGAATATTGGCCTACTTGCATATGTAAATTCCACCTGCCTGTTGCAGTTGGCTGCACGGACTTGAACTACCCGTACAAAACCACATTAACACTTTACATCTAAATACTTTATCCATCTTCAAATTTCTACAAAGTAGTTGATTCAACTTTATATCACAAAGGTCTGTAAAGCTGAGTGTTTATATTCAATTGGTCCAGATATGAGACAGTGTCTGTTTGGATGGAAATTAATATTTCATGGTTTGAAATTGCTAAAGTTTTATTCAAGACTTTGGGCTGTGGTTTCAAGTAATAATAATTGTAATAAACTTTGCTGACATTTTCCTTAGCAGCAGACTTAGTAGTAGTTCATTTATTTTTGTTGCTTGCTAACACAAATAGATTTCTTCTGATGTGCTTAGGAAAAATCTTTTTCTAACTGTGAGTTCAAGCATACAGTAAGGAGTTAAATTTGTCCTGCGAGAGAGATTTCTGACTGGGCATGCTTGAGGAAATTTTTGGCATGTATTTCAGTTACAGTTAACACTTGATATATTTGGGGAGCTAGAATTTGTGCAATAAGTGGAGGATTTGTTTGTGCACCCCATGATCTAAACTGGGAACATTGGAACTTGCATAGATGTAGTTGTTGCACATAAGGGACTAATTTATTATTTTGCAATGAAAACATGTCACTGGAGAACTGACCTGATGGAAACAATGAACAACTGCATTTCCAGAATCATCCTAAGCAGAAGTGTTGGCCCTCAGGAAACGTCTTGGTTAGAGCAGTGCCAGGATGGACTTTGAGTAGTCTTTGGCACCTTTTTTGGCACCGTTTCCATGTAGGTATACTCCTGACTGTTCTTTTAATGAAACAGGGCACAACTTGGATGTATTAACAAGTGTCAGCTGATGCTGTGCCTAGTGAGTTACAGTTAACATTTTTAGAATTTTTTTTGAGACTCAGTTGCGAGTGGATAGTCACCTATTAGTTTCACAGGTTTATGAAACATGTTACTTCATCCCTGTGGCTGATGTCAGATTTAAAACTGCCTGACACATTTTAAAATATAAATATTTAGCTATTTTTTTAGTCTAAGAGTGGGAAACTAATTTAAGAAGAATTGGTAAATTGGTGATTTTTCTATATATGTGCTGCATTTTTTCACTTATTGTCATTTGCTTTTGACTTACTTTTCGTATTTATCAGACTGAGTTGTTAGAGCTAGTACAGTTAATGAAAACCTCCTTGAATGTATTAATACTCTGTTGTTAGCACTGGGCTTGGATATGTAGCATTTTCCTTGGCAGCTAGTCTTGGAGCAGTCATTGCTGGTTTTGCTTCCTGACCAGTTCTCATGTGTATTGGTTAGGTTAAATGGAGGTGTATGGTTTTTAACTGTCCCTGGCACTTCATTGAACTGTCCCCTGATTTTGTGTCTTCTGCTTTGTGTTAAAATGAACCAGCAGGTGTGGAGCACACAGCAAAACCATTCGGAACAGACTGTTTGGGGGTGCTGGCAAGTGCCCTGAGGTGTATCAGATATTCTCTTTAAGACCCTCAAAGTGTTAATCCTGTGGGTGACTCCTGCAGGACTGGATGTACCATAACAGTTCAGGACTGCTAAACTGTTGAGCAGTGAAAAACCCAAACCACTCACCCCCAAAAACCTAAAGCAGGACACTTGATACTTGAATAAGTCAAGAGAGAAACTGTGGTTTACTTTGGCAGGTTATGTTCAATAAAAAGTACTGTTCCAAGTAATGCTTTGATATAAAAAAAAACATAGATAAAATCACCTTCCTTGTTTTCAAACAAACTTGCCGTGTCGATACAACATTGCTCAGACTGTTGCACTAGTAGCTACTATATCCTGTTCTTGAAACACACACAGTAGTAGGCACATAAGTACAGCAGAGTGAAAATGATGCTGTAGTCCTGTTTGTGAAATACTGCCTTCTGTGGGTTTCTCAGACTGCAGCAAGGGTAATATTTTTGTGGTTTTAATTTGAGTGGCTTTCCCTGTGTGTGAACCCACCGTATATTTTCCTGTTCATACAGGACTTTTCCATAAAACCTGCATACATGCACATAACACCTTATTCATATAATGCTCAGCAGGTAAAAATATTCGAACGAGAGTATAAATAACATACCTTTCTTATGTCCTTGGATTGCAATTCATAATCCTGTTGGGTCAGGCTTCCCATAGAAACATCTGTATCATACTCATAGAACTGGAGTGATTCTTGCTGTATAGGTGGTGCTGAGTTTACCAAAGGTACAAACACAAGCAAAAGAAAAGTAGCCTGTAAAGTCTTCATTCTTGCACAGAACAATGTATGTGGCTTTCACTGAGCTGGTGAGGATCTGCTGGTGCCTGGACTATGGAGAATACTTCCTTTGTGACTGGAAATGAAAATGCAATCCGTCAAAACAATATTTAAAGCCTAGAGGACTAGTTGGCAGAGGTTTGTAACGCATAAAGGAACGTGGAACAACTTTTAACTCTTGGTATCCTTTAATTAGACTCTGGCATTATAAAAGCTGTACTTAACATGAGAAGAAAGTGGGACCTAATAAACAACATTTTCCAACTAATAAGGAAAATATTATCTTAACTGCATGTACTTGTTTCCCTGTGTGATATTTCCATCAATACCGAGAGGGTTTTGTAAATTTGTGAAACATTTAGCATGTATGTATGTGGACTATTTAAACCTGAGAGGTTCAAATGCATTTTTCTTGATTGTCAAAGTCAGCATTTTCAAACCTAAATGCTCTATAACAATAATCTCTCATTGCCTTTGCCTTTTCATTTGAAACTAACCAAGAGAAGATAACTTAATACCCCGGAGTATGTTACAGGTTGTACAGTTTTCAGGCAGGGGGAGGAGGCTGCAAACATAGTCTTTAAAACTTTTCAAATGTGTGTGCAGTACTTTCAAAAATAAATCTTTACACAGCATTTCACCCTGTTTCCTATAAGTGTTTTATTTAAGCTTTGGATTAATATACTTTTAGGAAAAGAGTCCACCTACCTTTTTAGCAGATTCAAAGCTCTTCGGTGTCTCTCATGAAATGAGATATCCTTATCTATAGGTTACTCTTCTATCAATGTACTTCAGCTCAAGTTATAAATTACATCCAAATTGTGGACATGAATGCTCTCTCAGAGTTTGACAATATTAGAAGTGCTTTCCATGGGGTAAAAGTGCTTTGCCAGCATTCTCTCCCTAGGGTAAGAGGTAATATCCTGGAGCAGGGGGTTGTGCTTTGCGTAACTAAGTCTGTCTGGCTCATCCTACTTCTGGTGTTACATGTTAAAATGTTAGCTTTCTGCTTTGTGGTGATTTGGTCTTTGTAATTGCCAAGGCTTCTTCTGTAAATCAAATTTTAGTTGTGCAAACTAGAGGTCTCTAATAAGGAATGTGTTATCCATTTTGCTGAATGACTTAGCTGAGAGACAAAGCAGCTGCTTTCTGAGACAGAGGTAGAGCCAAAACATACATATGTGTATTAGTCATATTTTGCGAGTAATGAAAGATTTCATTACAAGTTGTATATATTTAAAGAAGTTTCACCTACCTATGAAATGAAAACTCTTTAGTCTGAAGAGTTCTGGAAATAAAGTACTCTTTGGAACTTCATGTGTTGTGTGTTGAGATTTTGAGACAACTTTGTCTAAGTGCTTCATTGAGTCACTGCTTCATTGACTTATTAGACAATGTATTGAAAAATAAACAATAAATATTTGCTGTGAGTAAAGTTCCGTGTCAGTTCTATAGATAACTCGGTAAACACTGTCCAGGTGTAAAATTTCCATCTGAACTATGAGCAGCAGTTTTCTGGATTTGTAACGCAGTTCTTCCTCCCCCATCCTTTTCCTTATTATGTATTTTTGGCAGTCGGCACAAATGGGAGCCAGATGACCAACTTGAAAGTTTACAGAGTAGCTTTTTCAAGTCTTTAAAAACTGTGTAGCAATAAAATCCAGTGGGAATATATCCAGATTTACATTTCTATTTCATTGTCATACTTCTGTTCTTTTTTTCTCACGTAATGCAACAGTGCACCTTTGGGTTAAGTCTTCTTCCAAGTCCTGCCTTGCTCAGAAACCAGATGTCTGTAGTAAATCTGCAAATTTGCCACTTTCTGAGCCCATTAGGAGTTTATAAAAATGTGCTTAGTTTAGACTCTATGCAAATTTCACTCTGTCATAGTTTGGGCTTGGAGCTTGTTCAAGGGTAATGATTTTGCTGTAAGTATATAACTGAAATGTAAAGCCAAGAGGCTCAGTAATGTGGAAATTGGACACTCAATCACACTGGGTGCTGTCTGCTGGAACAATAAGAACTCCAAAGTTTGGAGTGGCTATGAGGTTAAGTATGTTGCGGTGTCAATACCATCTTACCATCCCTTGTGTGGCTTCAGGCATGTTTTGGATGTAGTGGCTGCAGCTCTGCTGTGTACTTACCTCTTTGCAGCTGCCACCCCTCTGCCAAACATCCTGGGTAAGATTTCCTCTGGCTCTGGGGCATCCGAGTGTTTCCAATGCTTGAATGTAATTAAAGGGTAACTGTTCAAAGGGAGAAAAAGTAGTAAGTATTGGAGCTGAAAGCAAGATATGACATTAAATCTGTTATATTCTTATGATAATTTATTTTGTAGGTGCTGTGATCCTAGATTTCATAACTATGTACATGGAATAGCTGTTTTTTTCTTATGTATGACAACCTTAAAAATGAGGCAAGGTTACTAGATAAATGAGGCCTTGAAGATTTAGGAAGTTTTCATGCTCTTGTTTACTTTGATCTGCAAGAGAAGAGGCTCTGTAATGTTAGAAGACTTTAACTTCAGCAGCAAAAGGCTGTGAAATGTTTGTGTTCATCAGGGTCCCAAGCACTCGTAAGGAACTCATGAATACTTCCTTACAAACACATTCCAAAAGTGCCATGTTAAGTAATTTCTTTGGAGTGGTGTCAAAGTCTAGCATACAATATAGGTTTACTGCCAGTGACAAAGTAGTAGTCCTGTCACGTATTTTGTCTGCATTGTCATGCCTTGTGCCAGGAAGAAAAGGATGTATCAGCAAATAATGCCAGATAAAAATAGTTTTTAATCAAATGTGTACCATATCATAGAATCATAGAATGTTAAGGGGTTGGAATGGACCTTAAAAATCATCTAGATGCTCATCTCAGCACAAGGACAGGGCTGGTACAAGTGGTTGCAAACAAGGAAGGGGTAGCATTTCTGCTTTATTCCTGCTCAGAGTGACTTGGAATAATCACAATATCCAGCTCATGTGAAATGAAAAATGTGGTTCATATGCATTGGCAGTAGGGGAGCCAACAGGAAATACTCACCCTGGCAAGCAGAGACTACTTTCTAGGCGCTGTTAGTGCTTGGAAATTGGATGTGTATGGACCTGTTGCTTGGACTCTAGTTACAAGGGTCTATGTGCTTGGAAGGTGATCTCCTGCTGGAAACCTCAACAAGTTGTGATGTTAACTCATTGAGCTCCAGTTTTTGAAGAGGACCTTGACAGTATGTTCATGCTGTGTGTTCTGGTTTCCATGTGGTACCTTATTTGCACTGACTGATTTCCCCACAAAATGCTTTCACCTGAAGATTTAGGCATTGAAAATGGTTATTCTTAGGAATTTTGTTGAAATGAAATCCTGGCT